CCGTAGTAACAAAAATGTTTGTGAAATCATTAAGTAGTCAGAAGTCACCAAGATGCTGTTTGGTGGAAGGCTAAAGATAGGCAGCTTATACCCATAGCTATAAGGTTGTCCAGGTAAGGAATGTGCTCAGTGTACTTTGCTCTCTGAATATGCAGATGTTTGCTGTGAAAACAAAGTGATGGAGCAGTATAACCCAAATTCCATACCAATAAATTTAAACAGCATTTAGGGCTTGTGGTGGGGTTTGTTATGTTTGTTTTTTCTTTAATCTGTCATCTTCGGTTTTCCCAAATCCTAGTTTTCCAGGTTGCTGTGTTTGCAGAATGACCTGTGACTTCTGCTTGCACTTGAACAAAATACACTGCTTTCAGTTTGTACATTCTCCATAATGCTGAGTTCTGCTTTGGTGTTCATCCAGGCACGTGTATGGTGATGTTGTCACACTCAGCACCCGGACCTACGCAGGATAGGGCTAGTTTGCAAGTGTTACTTAACTAATCCCTCTCTCCCATATTGTAGTCTGTTTTCACAGGTAAAAATGTTAGGCACACGTTACAAAAAATAACTCTGAAGAAAAAAAATCACTTTTTAGATGCTTATCAGTGAAGGATCTCAAAGCATGAACAAGTCAAAATTAGATCATTTCTCATACTGTCAAGCAGAATACAGATGTTTAATACTAGTGCTCATGTGTGTATTGGGATGGAACAGCAAAAAAACTTAACCCTCATCTCCATTAGAGGAGGAAATTGAACTTGATGGAATAAAATTAGCCAAGTTGAAATATGCCATATACTTCCTGCACAAAGACTAGATGAGTAGGTTTGCCTCAGCAGAATACAGGCTTTGCTCCCAGAAAATGTGGAGGTAAATCTTTCCGTATCTTGCAGCTGTGTGTGCAAATACATGTGAAAAGAGGACGTTTGGTCAAATTTGTGAAAACTATGGAGAGAATTAGGAAGTCTGGCTTTAGAATCATCTTTACATATGTACTGTAGTCTATGTAAATAATAACCAGGGTAAACAGTTCTTTGATCAAAAATTAGATTATTCTGATCCATCTCTTTCTTTGGCTTTGTTTTAATGTTTTCTCTTTTAGCCAATGAGTGCAGCTCTGAAGGAGCGATTGAGGAAAACAAGACGTTCATTTAATGCTAATATTACAGTGGCAAAGCGGCTCAAAATAGACACTGAAGAAAAAGACTGTTCTGATGCTGACAAAGGGTGTCTGCCAAAGATGGGTACAGAACGTTCCACATTACAGGATGGTTTTGAAAACCTGGAAGGAAATGGCACTGGACGTATATGTGTCAAAAGTCCCTTACAGGAGAGTGGTCTCTCTGGATCCGCAGAGAATTCTGATGTGCTACCGACTGATCTTAGTCAGCAGCAGCCCCTGGAAGAAAAAGTAAGGCTGCTGAAACAAGTGCAAGAGAAAGAAGAACTACTTCGAAGGCTCAAACTGGTTAAGATGTATCGATCTAAGGTGAGGCAGACCTGAAAAAGCACTTTTAGGTCATTCTTTGAACTGTAATAATCACTCGTTAATTTAAGCCACAGCACTCACTTCTGTGTGGTGTTTGTGTGGTGTCTGTTTAAGGTGTTTTATAAGAATAGATCTGCAGGGTATCAAAAAACTCCACATTTCAGCAAATGATAACATTTTTTTGGTTTGTTTTGTCCCAATTTCAGAACAACTTGTCTGAACTGCAGGCTCTGATAGTGAAATGGAGAAGTAGTACCCAGCTGATGCTGTATGAACTCCAGTCTGCCTTCTCTGCAGATGGCAAGAAAGTGAGTCTCACTCAGCTGATAGATACTTTTGGATTGGAAGACCAATTATTGCACTACAGCAGGACAGAAGAAGATTTTGTAGATTCATAATCTACAGGTACAAAAAGCTTTCAATTACACACATGCAAAAGCAGAAAAGACTGAATGAATTCTGATCACATAAGAAGTGTTGATCAGACAGTGGACTTGATGCTTTGAGGTTATGAGGGTTTTTCGGGAGATACTTGTAAAGCTGTGTACTTAAATACAGTAGGCACTGTAAAAGGCATTACCTAACAGAAAACACTGAACTCGTGCTGTTCTGGAAAACCTGGCTTAACAACTTGATCAGTGAATTATTATTTAATAAAAATGAAATGAAACCAAGCCATACTTGAATAGGTAGAAAGCACCCCATTGTTTGATTAGTCTTTGCAAGGTTACCTGTATTGAAATAGTAACTCAGTTTGTCACTTCTGTTGATGTTCTGATGGGGAAGAGTTCAGTTCTTTGTTCATAGATAATGTCCCTGTTCTACAAATGTCTTCCTGCTGCCATTCAGTTAATGACAGCATTTTGCAAATTAACTGATTTTCATGATGTTAATATTCTGAAGCCACAATGAGATGTTCTCAATAGCTTTAATTGTTCCTGAGGGAAATGTGCCATAATGAAGTCATTTTCAGGTACTGGTTCAGCCAGTTGTCTTCAGGAAAGCTCTCTCTTAAGCATTCTGCCACAGCCTGACATAATGGAAGTGAAGGCAAGAAAACTGTAACCGACCCCTGTCTCCTCTACTACTTCATGTGAGAGCCAGGTATTTTCTCTCTTCAAGAAAAACAAGGCCTTGTCTAAAGGGAGTGCTTCAAATACAGCATCATAAAGCTGAATAAAACTTCAGCATTTCATTTACCCTCCAATAAATGTCTTTTTGTTGGTTTTTTTTTTTTATCTTGGCTTCAAATTGCTTATGATGACCTATGCGTGTAGTGTGGTCACTTCTGCCTGCTTTCCTTTGTTCAAATCTCTGCTTGTCAAATGTAATATGTAAGTCTTAACTACTCTGCAGCTCTCCCTGCTATGAATATTTTATATGTGGTCACATTCCTTACTGGCTGTACCATAACTGGTCTTTTTACAGGTGCCATTTCCTGTTTCCACAGGGAAAGAAAATCAAAGATCATACAGACCTTTTTAACATTTATAGGGCTCATTAGACTTAAATCTGTACCCATAACTTGCTCTTAAGAATATTGATTGTTGCTGTCCACACAGAATTAATGAAGAGAACCTTTATTGCTAGTCACCGTTTGAGCATTAAGACACTATTTCTTCTGCCTTGTGAGGTTAGCAAAAAAAAGATGATGGTGCCTGGTGAAGGGGTTGGTTCTCTTCCCTGAGTTCCTTGGCAAATTTGCAGCTCTGTTGCTTCTAGGCAAATTTCAGCAGAGTATCTTTCAAGAGGAATGGAGATGTAATCAGAATCCTTACAGACCCCAGTTAGAGATGGTAAAGCAGGAAAGGAGGTGGCATACATGTTCCCAGCAGAAGTAGTTCTCCTTGCAAGTGTAGCTTTTTTTTTTTTGCCTTTTTTTTTTTTTTTTAACTAAGGTATTATAGAATCATAGAACGGTTTGGGTTAGAAAAGACCTTAAGATCATCTAGTTTCAACCTCCTGCCATGGGCAGGGATGCCTTACGCTAGACTCTGTTGCCCAAAACTCCATCCAACCTGGCCTTGAATACTGCCAGGGATGGAGCATTCACAACTTCCTTGGGCAACCCATTCCAGTGCCTCACCACCCTCACAGTAGAGAACTACTTCCTTATATGTAACCTAAACTTTCCCCTGTTTAAGTTTGAAGCCATTACCCCTTGTTCTGTTGCTACAGTCCCTAAGGAAGAGTCCCTCCCCAGCATCCTTATAGGCCCTTTCAGATACTGGAAGGCTGCTATGAGGTCTCCTCACAGCCTTCTCTTCTCCAGGCTGAACAGCCCCAACTTTCTCAGCCTGTCTTCATACGGGAGGTGCTCCAGTCCTATTATCATCCTTGCGGCCCTCCTCTGGACTTGCTCCAACAGCTCCATGTCCTTTTTATGTTGAGGACACCAGAACTGTACACAATACTCCAAGGGAGATCTCACAGGAGCAGAGTAGAGGGGCAGGATCACTTCCTTTGACCTGCTGGTCATGCTTCTTTTGATGCAGCCCAGAATACGGTTGGCTTTCTGGGCTGCAAGCGCACACTGCCTGCTCATGTCAAGCTTCTCATCAACCACTACCCCCAAGTCCTTCTTCGCAGGGCTGCTTTGAATCTTCTCCACCCAACCTGTAGCTGTGCCTGGGATTGCCCCAACCCAGGTGTAGGACCTGGTATTAATGTTCTTTTAATGGAATGAGTTAAGAATTTATGAAAGGAGGAGAAGAATCGACACATATCGTGGAAGAGGGAAATAAAGATATGCAGGTAGACCAGTGCCCAGCAGTAGTTAATTATTTCAAGGGTTCATTATCTTTCTTAGCTGTCTTGGACAGTTCTGGCAGGAGAATAGACTGCATATCGGTGTGAAGGAATTGGGAGATAGCAGCAACTATTTCAGGAGGCCAGATGTTTTCAACCTGGTTCTCCTGTGATTCTGCCAGTGGCAG